ATGTACTCCAGTTTTCTTCTTCTCATGACATGACCAAAGAATGAAGATTGATTTCTTCTCATGACATGACCAAAGAATGAAGATTGATTTCTTCTCATGTGGACAGTCAGTTCGTAATATTCTTCATTTTGTAAAATGCCGTCTTTGCTTGAGTTATTCTGCATTTAACTTCCTTAGTACATCTTCCACCTGCTGTTATCAGCGTACTCGAGTAATTTAAACATTTCAGCTTGCATACGGATTGTCCCGTTAAAAGAACTGGTTACAATTTGTAAATTCCGTCAGCAGACCAGTTTCCAATGACAACGTCAGAGCGGCGTTGGCTAACGGCGAGGGGTGATGAATAAATGATAACAGCAGCTCTTTTACTGGCTGTCCCCTGAGAGCTCTTTAGGTTGTATGTTAGTTGCAGGACTATACAGAGGACTTGGTTGGCCATAGCATCATCATGTAGTATACTCTTTGCAGAGTGGGAGCTGCGTGGTCTCGAGGCAGTGTCCGCTTCGAGTGCTAGAGGTTCCTGGTTCAATCCCCAGTAAGAGCTGGGATTTTTTTCACCTGGACTTGGACTTCTAGTAACTCCACCTGGTCTCTGGGTAGTGACATCTGACGCACGTGAAAAATCCCTTGGCAGTTGGAAATCGAAAAGAGTAGCCTAACAATGCTGCCCGGGCAAAATTTTGAGCTTAAAATCTACCTAAAGTATTTCAGGATCCTCGCCGGAGCAACAGAGCCTGTGCACTGTGCTAAGTCTTCGGACTCAGATTTAAGTTAGAAGAAGAACGGAACACTTATGGGTTACTACCCGTGTGCTATGATGTGGATCCGTTGTTCAAAATCTCAAAACTCTGACGCTTTTATCAGTCTGCCTGAAAGAAACTCGGTCTCTCGCCTGCTCTCCCGCCTCATGTACTTTCCTATCCAAGGTGTCACTTATATCCCGTGCCCATCTTCGTGGTGTTCGGTCCCTGCCCCTCTTTCCTGGTACCATGCCTTCTGTTATGAGTTTTTTCCCCAATCGGCGCTGGCGCTTTAAAGTTAAAAAAAAAAAAAAAAACATATTTCCGTTTCCGATACATAATGATGTTAACTAGTCAATATTTCTTGATGTTCTGATCTTGTGAGATTTTAATATTTCCCTTCTTCCTTGTCTATGGTATTCTAAGAATCGGTGCTTTATTAATATCCCACCCCAAACAGGGGAAATCCACAGGACAGTCTAATGATTCAGGGGGTCGTAGATAGGCTGCATGCAGTCGTGGGTCCTAGGCTGCATACAGTCATGGGACCTAGGCTGCACTCTCTCGAAGGACGTAGGTGGGTTGGGGTTAGGGCCAATTCTAGCTGTTTTCGGGTCGTTAAAAGCACTTGAAAACCGGAAAACCCAGTCTTACCACCCTCTAAAATGGTGGACTGTTCTGTGACGTCATCTGGATATTAATAAAGCACCTTGGTACAATATTTTTCAGCTCTCGGTACCATTGTCGAAACCAACGCTTGACAAACCGCCCGCAGCTGGGATCGAACCCGGCACCTCGGCATTGCGAACTAAAGTACAGATCTATTGTTGTTGTTATTGTTCTTCTTCTTATTTGTCTTTCATCGGCTTTAAGCGCTAGTGGAAAGTCCTGGTTGTTCGTTTAACTGGACTTTGTGTCAGGGCCTGAGTTTTGCGTTGTCTTCTTTGTTCAAACTGTAAATGTCTTTATGGGATCACGGACAGCGTAGCGATTATTTATTTTTCTTGGTGGTTTTGGGGAAACGGCAAGTGGTTGGTCGGCTGACTTTTTATATTTTTTAATTTTAACTGAGAAGTTTATTCAAATAGCTAGGTTCCAGCTCCGAAAGACACCCCTGAAAGCAACTTTGAACTTGTTCCAGTCTCGTGTACACAGCAGTCGTCGTGACTGAGGCATCTCCGAGAAGGGCACAAAGTTTACTTCAGCTTCTTCTTGGGGCGGATGTTGCTGGTGTGGCCCCACTTCCTCTGGCGGCAGTTGGTGGCACGGGGGTGCAGACGAGCATAGCATTTTCTGCAAATCGTCTTGTCACAATTGTACTTGGAGGCCTGAATCCTCAGTGAGGGCTCGATGATACCTTCTCTCAATCTCAGCACAAGGTGAAGGGTAGACTCCTTCTGAATGTTGTAATCCGACAGTGTGCGGCCATCTTCCAGTTGTTTACCAGCAAAAATCAACCTCTGCTGATCTGGAGGAGTACCTTCCTTATCTTGAATCTTTGCCTTCACATTCTCAATTGTATCAGACGGCTCGTATGTATTGAAATTTGATGAATGATTATCCAAACTGACTGGAACACTTTGCTATCCAGAACAGAATCCTGAAGACTGAATCGATGTCCTCACACGAAAACAGCAGACCATTGTGTTTATATTACGAACTTGACACAGTAGACATCGCAGGGATATGTTCAAGAAATTGTGTTTTTGTTTTGTTTTATTCAACGGATCAACATCATGGCACAAGTGCTCCGTTCTTTTTCTAACTCAAGCCTGAGTCTGAAGAATCAAAGCGCAGTGCATGAACTCTGTGGCACCGGCGAGGATCCTGACCTACTTTAGGTAGATTTGTAACCCTAAATTTTGCCCGGCAGCGCCGTTAGGCTACTTTTTTCGATTTCCAATTTCACAACAATACACACGGGCGTCTGATCTTACTACTAAGAGACCAGAGGAAAATACTAGAAGTCCACGTGAGAAAATCTCAGCCTTCACCGGGGCATGCACTATACAGTAACCCAGCGGTTCTCAAACTGGGTGCCGCGGCATTAATCACGCAGTTGTCAAAATCTGCTTGAGATTAGCGAAGACAGCAGTTTAAAACAGAAATATTGCCCGGCTCTCTAGCGTAGTAGGCTAAACCGGATTGCGCGGTGAGCGGGTGACGAACTTCTTGTGGTCCGGGTTCACTCCCGGGGGTGGGCAGAAAAGTCACATTTTCTCCCAGATTTACGCGAATCAAGGCCGAAAGGTTGCGATATCCATAATACCGAGCCTAAGGGTTAACAACTCATGGCTTCTGGATACTAAAACAAAAAACAAAACAAAACAAAACAGAAATACCGCTATGGAAGCCAAGAAGAGTTCTGGATTAAGGTGTATTCAGGAGACAATGCTATTGGCACGGCTGCATGCATTCTCAACGTACGCTTTGAAAAAAAGGGGGGGGGGGGAACAGATACAGGAGCAAAGTTTCTGTGTCAAGTAATTTGAGGGTTAAATTAACCAAACCTCCCTTATACATAAAGGAAATAACTAACAGTTCATCGAAACAGTTTCATTTATCGCATTGAAGAGAATTGAACATTAAATCTGCATTGCCCCCCCCCCCCCCCCCCTTTCTTTTACCAATTATTCAAACCACTTTATGAGTAGGTGTGCAGCGAAAAAACATTTGCCCGACAAAGGTGCCGCGACTAAAACAGTTTGAGAACCGCTGCTGCAGGGTTTTAAAATGTATCTTTTTTTTTTAACGTGACTGGTTTTTATTTTTTTAAATCATCATGCGTTATGTTGCTTTATGCTGACTATATACAGTGTCTGACAATTAAGTAATGAAACTGATTATATTATGGCTAAGACAAAAATGCCATCTATGAATCACAGCATGGAATTCAAAGAGGTAACCTCCGACTATGATCTGTCAACTTTTCATCGCCGCCCTATAAGCAGACAACAAACAAGTCGCCCTTTTGTTAACCTAGTCAGAGGTGCATTGTAACGTAATTAGCATGAAGAAAAAAAAAGCTTATATTAAATCATGTTTTAAACTCCGAAAAAGCGTCATAGCAACAGTTGAAGTGTTGCGACAAGTTTATGGGGATAATTGTTTATCTCGTGCACAGATTTTCAGCTGGTATTGACAATTCAAAAGTGGTGTGGAAATGATTACTAATGCAACTAGACCTGGACGCCCAATTTCTGTTCGTAATGAGGTACTCATTGCAAAATTCCGAGAACGGATACAAGAAGATCGTTGTTCGACTGTGAGGATGATGGTAAAAGAATTTGGTGTTAATGGAGAAACTATTCGTAAAATGTGAGTAACAGATTTGGGCAAGAAAAAAAAGTTGCTTGTTGGTTTGTATTCAGCACCTGGCAATTTGTTTCTTCTTCATGACAATGCACCGGCCCAAAAGGCAGAAGTTGTAGAGGAATTAAATTGTCCTTGATTATTTCTGCACTTTCGTGTTTTTATTTTTTAAATGGAGCCTTACTGTTATATGCATTTCGTAATTGCACAGAACAGACGCAGATAAGTGGGTATGATTTACAGTCACCAATGTGGAACTTTGGGAGTCGCAGTGGTCAAACCGCTAGACGCTCGCCTGCGGATCGAAAGGTGGAAGTTGTACATGAATTAAATTGTCCTTGATTCTTTCTGCACTTTCGTGTATTAAAAAAAAAAAAAAAAAAAATGAAGATTTACTGTTATTTGCATTTCGTAATTGCACAGAACAGACGCAGATAAGTGGGTATGATTTACAGTCACCAATGTGGAACTTTGGGAGTCGCAGTGGTCAAACGGCTAGACGCTCGCCTGCGGATCGAAAGGTCGTGGGTTCGGGTCCTGGCGGAGCTGGATTTTTTTCAGAAATAACCTGGGCTCCCAGGTCGACCCAACCTTGAGTAGGTATCAGGTGCAGTCCTGGGAAGTAAAGGCTGCTGGTGTGATGCTGACCTCACCATCCAACATGTGCCTACTGGTCTATAAAATATAGGTCTAGCCGTATATGCCCTATATGCCCAATAATCCTAAAGGTGTGGAAAAGGGTCCTTCGTGAGAGCACTGAAGTCATTCCAGTGAATAAAGAAGTGAGGAAAAGAGGCTAGCTTTGGATAGGACACACATTGAGAAAACAAGAAAAACAAGATAACTAACATTTTGCCGCACTGTAATGATATAAATATGATACTGTGTTTATTTGCGAGTTCCAATCTAAAAAAAAAATTTTATTGTTTGCTATTTTTCAATCTACAGAAATTCGAGAATTGTTTCGGATATTCGACAGAGACCGCGACAACAGAATCTCAGGGGCGGAGCTCGGCAAGATGTTGCGATGTATGGGGATGAATGTGGCAGAGGAGAATGTCGAGGCCATTATGAGGGAACTCGACAAAAATTGTGAGCATTGTCTGTCTCATCTCATTTACCCACCTACCTCTCTGTCTGTCTCATCTCATCTCATCGCATCCATCCACAAACCTCTCTGTCTGTCTGTCAGAACTGGATATATGGTGCTATCCCCATACTTTTATAAAGCAGTCCACTCGGTGGGCGATGTGGCCGCCACAATTTACCAGAATCGTTCATGAGAGGGGAAAAAAAACCCCGATCATTGAGGATTCGAACCTGTGACAGCTGACTGGGCAGGTAAAGGTGGTTGCCACGACCGCAGTAAAGCTGTCCCGCGGGCCTTCTCTCTCTGTGTCTGTGTGTATATGTGTGCGTTTGTGTCCGTGGATGATGATATCGTCACATAATTAGACACCTTCAGCGGGAGTATCAGTCATCATCATGTGCCCTGCCAACTGGCGTAGGCGCTCATGCATCTTCACAGATCACTATCCTTGGTTGCCTGATATTCCTGCTTGTGCCATTTTCAGCCCATCCAGCATCGTCTGTCTTGGTCTACCTCTACCCCTCTTTCCCCGGATCTTTCCAGTTGTGACGATGTTTTCTCATCCCTCTCTTCTCATTATGTGGCCAAAGAACAGTGTTTGTCTACTTCTTATTGTTGTATACAGAGATCTACTTTCAATATTCTTTTTTCAAACAATCGTTGTTAGTTACTCTAGCCGTCCAAGGTAATTGTAACATTCATCTCAGAAACCACATCTCTGTTGCTTCCAAATTCTTTTCTTCATGAAATGTCTTGGGAAAATAATGTGATGGTTTCTCGTTGTCTTCCACATCCACATGGGGTATTTTAACCTGCACCTTTGACAGTAATTTCTGACTGTCAGGACAAGTTAGTGCCCTTCTCTGCCCAGCTGCAAAATAATCTACTCATTCCGGTGGATACTCGGTCCCCATATCTGCGTTAGCCACCCAATGGTGTGTTTCCAACCCTCCACCACTTGGAGATGCAGTTTGGGATTTTCCCTTTCATCAAATTTGAGACCAGGATGTCATTTCTCAAACTCTCTAGGTAGTTCCTGGAGTATAGGTATGATAACGAATTATGATTATGACAGGTAGCGTGCAGATGAGGATGAAAATGATGATAATGACGATGATAAAAAAATGAGAATGATGCCGATTATACTATTGTTGATCGTGAGTAGCATGATGATGATGATGAGTATGATGATAATGATTAATGCTTATGATTAGTATGATGATAATGATTAATGATGATGATAAGTATGATGATGATTATGATAGTGACTATGGTGATGAGTACGATGCTGATGATAATGATGATTATGATGATGATAATGATCTTTGGTCATGAATGTGATGATGATGATGAGTATGATCATGATGAGTAAAATGATGATGCGCGTGATGATAATGAGTATGATAATATGATAATGATATGATGCTGCATTTGATGATGATGAGTGTGATGATGATGATGAGTAAGATGATGATGAGTATGATGGTGATGAGTATTATGATAATAATGAGGATCTGCATTGTCTTAAAAGACAGTCGGTCTTTATAGGACAAGAACATACTTTTAAGAAATTCACCACTCCTTAATTCATGAACGCCGACAAACTGCAGAAGTGGCTCGACTGTAATTTTATCTAAGGGTTTTGTCCCAGGATAGTATTATATAAGCAGACAAAATTTCCTGTTGTGGGAACTAGTTGGTAAGTGGGACCCACTGAACTAGAAAATGCGGACACCTGGAAAATATCTAAAGACCCTCCCACAATTTATATAACTCCCAACTGTTATTCGCAGTAAAGACGGAGAAACATTCTTGTAGAATCATAATACATACCTATAGTTAATAAGAATGAAGTTGACAATGATCAATCTGAAACAACACGTATCAGTCATGAACTATAACCGGGACCAAACAATCTAATGCAGTGCCAAGACACTAAGGTTAACAAGCTTATGGGACTGAGAAAACACTCAGGCGCTATGGTTCACAAGCTTATGTGACAGAGACAACATTTAGGCACTATGATTCACAAGCTTATGGGACTGAGAAAACATTCAGGCATTATGGTTCACAAGCTTATGTGACAGAAAAAAACATTCAGGCACTATGGTTCACAAGCTTATGGGACTGAGAAAACATTCATGAATGATTAAGGTCACTAATGTTCATTCACGATTTTTGAATGCCTGTTTTATTTTAATCATTTTCTCTAGAAGATTTCCCTCCTTTATTAAGACGGTCCTTCTTTCTGGCGAGTGAGTCAGAGGAACATTCACAATCACCTCACGACATGTATGATGACGATAATTATGAGTTAGACGAGGTAGACTAAGAACAAATGGAAAATATGACGTCAGAGAAACTGATGATAGTGGAAACAATGAAATAAAAAACGGCAGTTACTGCCTTTGAATCTCCGACCTTCCCCGTGTGGGTTCCAAGGCTCCATCGTGGGGAAAGCAAGAATAAACCCACTGCCTACCCAAAGCATGTCGTAAGAGTCGACTAATTGGGAGCTTCCTTCAAAGTCGGATTGCATCTGCCTGAGAGGCAAGGAACCAGCAATCTGCATACAAAAAAGTCAGATCTGTAAAATGGATACACACGCAACATTCAGATTCTGCATTCCAGAAGTGGATAAACAACTAGAGTTTACAGCTGGTGAACGTGAAGAAGAAGAATTATGATGATGATGATGAGGAGGAGGAGGACGAGGAGAAGGAAAAGAAAAAGAAGAAGAATAAGAAGAAGAAGAAGAAGAAGAAGAAGAAGAAGAAGAAGAAGAAGAAACAGAAGAAAAATGAAGGAGGAGGAGAAGAAGAAGAAGAAGAAGACGAAGAAGAAGAAGAAGAAGAAGAAGAAGAAGAAGAAGAAGAAGAAGAAGAAGAAGAAGAAGAAGAAGAAGAAGAAGAAGAAGAAGAAGAATCGTCGACCGGATGCAGATCAGAGTTCTTTGTTTGTTGCCAACAGAAAAAAAAATCCCCAACCATACCGAGGATTCAAACCTAGATCTCCCGGTTTGGAGCCCAGCGTTCTTAACAGTTCGACCAACCGCTTCTCTATACAGTGAAAGTTTACACCGAATAACCTAACGGCTATTACCAACATGATTTCTGTAAAACATGTAATTTCTCCTCTTCCTCACACATACACACACACTGTACAACGATACACACACTGAACAACGACACACACACTGTACAACCACACACACACTTTACAACCACACACACACACTGTACAGCCACACACACACTGTACAACCACACACATACTGTACAACCATACACACACACACTGTACAACCACACACACACACACACTGTACAACCACACACACCCACTGTACAACCATACAACGCCATGTGCAGGTATTGATCAAAGTACGTCTGTCTGTCTGTCTACAGGTAATGGCAAAGTGGAATTCCGCGAGTTTAAAGCGTTTGTGCAGGAAGAGATGAGGAAATCGGAGAATCCACAAGAACAAGAAAAAGCCATTCGACTAGCATTTAAGGTGAGGGGTCATTTCTTTGTCATGTACCTTTATCATTAACCATACTGTGTAAAGTGCGGCGTCCGTGACTCAGGCGTTGCGAGTCCGACTCGTAATTCCAACGTACCGCGATCGAAACCCAATGCTGGCTACGTGAATTTTTATCGTGGTACAGGGCGTCACAGGTCGACCCAGCCTAAAATCGGTACCAGGATGTATTTCCTCGGAAAGCAAAGACGCCCGACCTATTGCTGACCACATTACCCACCCAGTGCCGATTGGTCTGTAAAAATATGGGTGCTCTTCCCATATGCCCGATGCGCCTAAAGGCGTGAAAAGGGATCTTTATTGTATAAAGTAAGGTAAAGGACCCTATTCCACTCCTTTGTGTGTATTTGGCATACAGGGCTAGACCTATACTTTATAGACCAACCGGCACTTTCTTTCTTTCTTTCTTTCTTTCTTTCTTTCTTTCTTTCTTTCTTTCTTTCTTTCTTTCTTTCTTTCTTTCTTTCTTTCTTTCTTTCTTTCTTTCTTTCTTTCTTTCTTTCTTTCTTTCTTTCTTTCTTTCTTTCTTTCTTTCTTTCTTTCTTTCTTTCTTTCTTTCTTTCTTTCTTTCTTTCTTTCTTTCTTTTTTGCTTCCTTCTTTTCTTCCTTCCTTCCTGTATTTCTTGTATGCTTCCTTCTTTTCTTCCTTCCTTCCTGTCTTTCTGTTTCTTTCTTTCTTTCTTCTTTCTTTCTTTCTTTCTTTCTTTCTTTCTTTCTTTCTTTCTTTCTTTCTTTCTTTCTTTCTTTCTTTCTTTCTTTCTTTCTTTCTTTCTTTCTTTCTTTCTTTCTTTCTTTCTTTCTTTCTTTCTTTCTTTCTTTCTTTCTTTCTTTCTTTCTTCTTTCTTTCTTTCTGTTTTCTTTCTTTTTTCTTTCTTTTCTTTCTTTCTTTCTTTCTTTCTTTCTTTCTTTTCTTTCTTTCTTCTTTCTTTCTTTCTTTCTTTCTTTCTTTTCTTTCTTTCTTTCTTTCTTTCTTTCTTTCTTTCTTTCTTTCTTTCTTTCTTTCTTTCTTTCTTTCTTTCATTCTGTTTTCTGTCTTTCTTTTTGTTTTCTTTCTTCCTTTTTCACTTCCTTCCTTCGTTCATTATTTTTTTCTTTCTTTCGCTCTTTATATCTGTATTTCTGTCTTCCAGTGCCAGTTAGGATGTGTGTTTTTTGGGCCCCTGACAGTAACAAAAGCCCATGACCTTACCGAGGATTAGAACCTGGGGCTCCCGCATGAGAGCCTGATGTTCCTAACCTTTCGACCAGCCGCTCGTCTATTGCGTGTTATCACCAGATGTCTTGTTTTTTGTTTGAAGGTATTTGATGAGAACGACGACAACCTGATTGAAGAAGAGCAGTTAAAGAAAGCGATGAAGAATCTAGGGGAGCCGTTGTCTGACCAGGAGTTGGACGATATGTTGAAGCTGGCAGAGAGAAATGAGGACGGGAAGATTAACTACGAAGGTGGGTGTCAGATGTTTGTTTAATCTTAAGGGGGAGGGGTCGCGGACACGGAGAAATGAGGACGGGAAGATTAACTACGAAGGTGGGTGTCAGATGTTTGTTTAATCTTAAGGGGGAGGGGTCGTGGACACGGAGAAATGAGGACGGGAAGATTAACTACGAAGGTGGGTGTCAGATGTTTGTTTAATCTTAAGGGGGAGGGGTCGCGGACACGGAGAAATGAGGACGGGAAGATTAACTACGAAGGTGGGTGTCAGATGTTTGTTAAATTTTAAGGGGGAGGGGTCGCGGACACGGAGAAATGAGGACGGGAAGATTAACTACGAAGGTGGGTGTCAGATGTTTGTTTATTCTGGTGGGGGAGGGGGGGGGGGCAGACACAGAGAGAGAAATGAGGACGGGAAGATTAACTACGAAGGTGGGTGTCAGATGTTTGTTTAATCTTAAGGGGGAGGGGTCGCGGTAACGGAGAAATGAGGACGGGAAGATTAACTATGAAGGTGGGTGTCTCCCATGGCCCATCTGTTCAACCAAATCTCTTTGTTTATAGCTCTTATCAGTGTTTTTGCTGTCTGGAGGGTTGTCGCTGTAGGTGGTTGTTCTTGTGTTGCTCCTTTCTTTGCCAATCTGTCAGCTCTGTCATTACCTGGTGTGCCGGAGTGACCTGGAATCCACTGCATCACTATTCTGATGTTGTATGAGGTAATAAGCTGATCATCATCCAGGATGATCTTGGCTATATCAGTTCTGCAGCGTTCACTGCCCTCCAGAGCTTGAAGGGCAGACATTGAATCTGTGAAGATGACAATATTTTAGACCTTTGAAGGGTAAACATCCATTACAGTCTGTAGGTGGTATACTGCTGTGTTCAGTGCAATTATTTCAGCTTCATAGTTTGAACAGAATTCCCCGCATGCATCAAAAATCTCTTCAACAGATCCATCGGGATAACCTATGTAGATTCCGTAACCTGCTTTAATGGTAGCTTTAAATGCTGATCCATCAGTATAGACATGTATCTATTCTTGGGGGTAAGAATCAACGGTCTTTATTGATGAGTTCATAAGAGCGATTGGGTCGGACTGTTTGGTTTCCTCGCCTACCAATTTAGTTCGGACTTCTGGAGCTTTAAGGCGAGCATGTGGTGGTAGGTTTCTTGCAACATTCTGATGAGAACGACGACAACCTGATTGAAGAAGAGCAGTTAAAGAAAGCGATGAAGAATCTAGGGGAGCCGTTGTCTGACCAGGAGTTGGAAGATATGTTAAAGCTGGCAGAGAGAAATGAGGACGGGAAGATTAACTACGAAGGTGGGTGTCAGATGTTTGTTTAATCTTAAGGGGGAGGGGTCGCGGACACGGAGAAATGAGGACGGGAAGATTAACTACGAAGGTGGGTGTCAGATGTTTGTTTAATCTTAAGGGGGAGGGGTCGCGGACACGGAGAAATGAGGACGGGAAGATTAACTACGAAGGTGGGTGTCAGATGTTTGTTTAATTTTAAGGGGGAGGGGTCGCGGACACGAAGAAATGAGGACGGGAAGATTAACTACGAAGGTGGGTGTCAGATGTTTGTTTAATCTTAAGGGGGAGGGGTCGCGGACACGGAGAAATGAGGACGGGAAGATCAACTACGAAGGTGGGTGTCAGATGTTTGTTTAATCTTAAGGGGGAGGGGTCGCGGACACGGAGAAATGAGGACGGGAAGATTAACTACGAAGGTGGGTGTCAGATGTTTGTTTAATTTTAAGGGGGAGGGGTCGCGGACACGGAGAAATGAGGACGGGAAGATTAACTACGAAGGTGGGTGTCAGATGTTTGTTTAATTTTAAGGGGGAGGGGTCGCGGACACGGAGAAATGAGGACGGGAAGATTAACTACGAAGGTGGGTGTCAGATGTTTGTTTAATCTTAAGGGGGAGGGGTCGCGGACACGGAGAATGAGGACGGGAAGATTAACTACGAAGGTGGGTGTCAGATGTTTGTTTAATCTTAAGGGGGAGGGGTCGCGGACACGGAGAAATGAGGACGGGAAGATTAACTACGAAGGTGGGTGTCAGATGTTTGTTTAATTTTAAGGGGGAGGGGTCGCGGACACGGAGAAATGAGGACGGGAAGATTAACTACGAAGGTGGGTGTCAGATGTTTGTTTAATTTTAAGGGGGAGGGGTCGCGGACACGGAGAAATGAGGATGGGAAGATTAACTATGAAGGTGGGTGTCAGATGTTTGTTTATTCTGGTGGGAGAGGGGGGCGACATAGAGAAATGAGGATGGAAAGATTAACTATGAAGGTGGGCATCAGATGTTTGTTTAATCTGGTGGGGGGGGGGGGATATGAGGGGGGCAGACAGAGAGAGACGTGGATAGGCAGAATAACTACGGAGGTGGGTGTCAGATGTTTGTTTAATCGGGGGGGGGGGGGGAGGTGAGGGGGGGGGGGCAGACAGAGAGACGTGGATAGGCAGATTAACTATAAAGGTGGGTGTCAGATGTTTGCTTGATTTAGGGGGGGGGGGAGGCAGACAGAGAGAAACGAGGACTGGAAGATTAACTATGAAGGTTGGTGTCAAATGTTTGTTTAATCTTGGGTTGGGTGGGGGCAGAGAGAGAGAGAGAGAGAGAGAGAGAGAGAGAGAGAGAGAGAGAGAGAGAGATAGAGAGAGAGAGAGAGAGAGAGACGAGGATGGGAAGATTAACTATGAAGGTGGGTGTCAGATGTTTGGTTATTCTTGGAAGGGAGGAGACAGACCCCTGAGAGAGACAGGACGTTCCGAGGTTTTTGAAAGCAACGTGTTCACATTACTGCTGAGAATACGAGAATTAGGAGTAAAGATCGGCACAGTCAAGCATGAGAAGCCCACCATACGCACACGAAGTCTTGTCAACCAGCATAGGACTAGCACAATTAACCGCGCGACACTGATGAATATGTTGGGAGGGGAATCAGAGCACCTATGGATGTGTCCGGAGTACTCTATGAAGATAATCAAACTCATAACTCTGTGCGCATAACAGAACTTCGTCTTCCAGGCGCCGGGTCCTGGCGACTCTTGTCACCAAGTGCTCCCCCTCCCCTTTTGCCCCAATTATGTTTAATGTGGAATACACCACCCCTCCCTTTTAACCCCCCCCCCCCCCACCATTAAAAAATTTTCTTCAAAAATTACTATGGCTTCCAGGTTTGACTCAACTTTAAGTGGGTACAAGGTACAGTCCTGGGAAGTAAAGGCGACCGGTGGGATAATGATAACATCTCCCACCGAGTGCCTATTGGTCTATAAAAAGCATGGAAAATGGACCTTTATATTATAAATATTATTACACGTTGAAACAAGGATTAGCGGAACCACCCCTTCCCCAGAGCACCGATATTCCAATGTTTCCCCAACCAACGCCCCTGTTTTCCTGTACTCCTGTACCCCTGTTACCCTGTACCCATGTTAACATGTACTCCTTTTCCCCTGTACCCCTGTTAACATGTACTCCTGTTCCCCTGTACCTTGTTCCCCTGTACCCCTGTACCTCTGTTTCCCTGTACCTCTGTTCCCCTGTACCCCTGTACCCCTGTTCCCCTGTTACCCTGTACTTCTGTTCCTCTGTACCCATGTACCCCCTACCCCTGCACCCCTGTTACCCTGTACCCCTGTTCCCGTGAACCACTGTTACCCTGTACCCCTGTTCCCCTGTACCTATGTACCCCTGTTACCCTGTACCCATGTTACCCTGTACCCCTGTACCCATGTTACCCTGTACCCATGTTCCCCTGTACTTTTGTTCCCCTATTCCCCTGTTACCCTGTACCCCTGTCCCTCTGTTCCCCTGTCCCTCTGTTCCCCCGTGTGGCAGTCACGGTACTTGATTTAGCAGTACTCACCAACACAGTTGATCAAAAAACACTCTTCTACACGGTATCTGTGTCAGGGTTCGTGTGTGTACTCCCACAGACTAACGAAGATTTCCCCCGGGACATTAGAGCGGGAGTTTTCGTTCGTGCGGCAGCCATTGGGAAATTAGCGAGCAAGATTTAGCAAAGGGAATGGTAGTGAGAAAAATAAGATGAAGGGAAAGTAATTTAGTATCTACATTTGAAGTGCAGTAATGGTGGTGATCGTAGTTTTGGTGGTGGTGGTGGTAGTAGTAGTAGTAGTAGTAGTAGTAGTAGTAGTAGTAGTAGTAGTAGTAGTAGTAGTAGTAGTAATAGTAGTAGTAGTAGTAGTAGTAATAGTAGTAGTAGTAGTAGTAGTAGTAGTAGTAGTAGTAGTAATAGTAGTAGTAGTAATAATAACATTAGTAGTAGTAATAATAGTAGTGGTGGTGGTGGTGGTAGTAGTAACAGTAGCATTGATGATAGTAGTTGTGGTGTTAGTAATAATAGTAGTGGTGGTGGTGGTAGTAGTAACAGTAGCATTGATGATAGTAGTTGTGGTGTTAGTAATAATAGTAGTGGTGGTGGTGGTGGTGGTGGTGGTAGTAGTAACAGTAGCATTGATGATAGTAGTTGTGGTGTTAGTAATAATAGTAGTGGTGGTGGTAGTAGTAGTAACAGTAGCATTGATGATAGTAGTTGTGGTGTTAGTAATGATAGTAGTTGTGGTGTTAGTAATAATAGTAGTGGTGGTGGTCGTAATAATAGTAGTGGTGGTGATGGTGGTGGTAGTAGTAACAGTAGCATTGATGATAGTAGTTGTGGTGGTAGTAATGATAGTAGTGGTGGTGGTGGTAGTAGTAACAGTAGCATTGATGATAGTAGTTGTGGTGGTAGTAAAAATAGTAGTGGTGGTGGTGGTAGTAGTAACAGTAGCATTGATGATAGTAATTGTGGTGGTAGTAATAATAGTACTGGTGGTGGTGGTGGTAGTAGTAACAGTAGCATTGATGATAGTAATTGTGGTGGTAGTAATAATAGTAGTGGTGGTGGTGGTAGTAGTAACAGTAGCATTGATGATAGTAGTTGTGGTGGTAGTAATGCTAGTAGTGGTGGTGATGGTGGTAGTAGTAAC